GTGGGGGAATGGTTGGACTCAATGATCTCAAAGGTCTCTTCCAACCAAAAGGAGTCTATGATCCTGTGGCTGCTGGCTTTGGAAGCTCCCTGTGCACTCACACTCCATCTGTGTGCTCCCTCCAGAGCAGCCTCCAAGCCCCTGGGTGAGCTCAGGTCACTTTTTCACTCCAGCCTACAGTGCTGCAGCTGGTCCAAGCCTATCAGCCCCTGCCCTAGGTCTGGCTGAGGGGTGGGCTCCCTGCTAAGCCTGGTCACTAAAACACCCAAAGGAAACTAAACCCAAGGAGCATAAAAACCCCAGGAGCAGCAGCAGGGATAACCGAGGAGCACGAGTAAAGTGTCTCAGCAATCCAGCTCCCAGAAGCTGCCAGCAGCACTCGCCCAGCCCCTGCTGACAATTAATCACATTGTCACATGCCTATTGAAACAAAGGGACAATTAGTCCCCGGGCAGCATCCACCCCTCCCTTGAAAGCACCGAGGCTGTGCCTGGGCTGGCAAAGCTTAGGAGGCAAAGCAGCACACCAGCTATTGGCTCCTGCAGTTTGGAGGCTTTGGGGAGCAGGCTGGCAAGGAGAACTGCTCAGCTGGGGAGGTACCCACAGCAGCAAACCTCAGATGGGCCCTGGCTGCATTTCCCCAGCTCACCCAGCAGAGGAAATGAGGGGGGTGGCTCTGCTCCTTTGGAAGGGCTCTCAGGGCTGCCACCCACCAGGCAGGGCATTGGTTATGGTGGCTGGCAGAGAGTCAGGGTCATCCTCTTGGAAGGACAGGAAATAAAGGGCAGCTCAGAGAGGAAACCCAGAGGGATCTAGTGGAGCAATAACCATCATCACCCTCGGGTGCTGGATGCCCCCCAGCAGCACAGGGGCACACAGAGCTCCTCGAGATGGTGCTGGGTTGGGCAGCCTGGGGGGGGATTTCCACCAACCCCCCCTCCCGAGCCCTTTGGTGGGGCAGGTTGCAGCATTTTGCCATCACTCATCCTGGCTGTGGTTTCATGACCTCAGCTGCTACCAAAAAGGGGCAGAGGGAGCTTAGGGACAGAATCATATTGCCTCTGAAGGATGCCCTGAGAGGCTGGGGCATCTTGCAGCCGTGATGCCCCATCCCACCACCCCACTGCCAGAGCACCTCACCACTCTATGAATCTCCAGATTCTCACACTTCCTCAAGGAGAGATCCTTTCTGCCAGCGAGGTTAATTAACACTGACCTGCAGGCCATGATTAGAAGCCAAGATGTGCTTTCTCCTGCACCATCTCCCCACATCCTGCTGTCTGAAGGAGAGGGATGGCTGGGGAGTGGAAGCTGGGCTCAATCTATTCTTCCTACTGCTCAGCACAATCAGGCAAAATATTTTTAGAAGGGACAGTGAGAAAATAACCACGAAGGGCTGTGTCCCAGGTCCATCAGGAAGCCAGAGCAAAGCAGGAGGCAGAGGTCTGAGTTGAAGCTATCGCCCTCCCCCCAAATAAAAAGAATGAGCTGGAACCCTGAGCAAACTTTGCTGAAAATGCTGAAATACTGTTTCATTCTCCTGGCTATCATTTAGGTTGAAAATATAGCAGGAAGTCTCTTCCAGCTGAACTCGTTCCTCCTAATGACAGTTAATAACAATGATTGCTGTTCAGATTGAAACTGCATTAATACAAACTTCAATTTAAACAGCAGCATCTTTGCCTAATGCCAAGAGGTTTATGTGATGCATAATCAGCTCTTCTAAAAAGTGTCACATTCTATGCCCCAGCCTTTTAATCAAGGAGTAGTCAAATAAAGTGCAGAAACAATGAAAAAAAAACCTGGAATACAGTGATTCAATATCACTCAACATCCTTTTCTGTGTGATGTTTTACTTATCTGGCCAGTGTCAGAAGGTGGCCACTCTCAGTTTTCCCTTTTGGGCTGAAAATTAAGTGTTTCAAAGAGCTAGAGCTTTAACTGGGGCAGCCAAAGTGTCCCATCTGAGAGGATTCAAACATCCAGCCCTAGTTTCACCAGAAAAGATGATTTCAATGCAGCCAACTCTGAGTGGAAGGCATTGGGTGCAGATCTGACAGCAAGGGATCTTGTTTTCCAAATGAAATGGGTGTGAAAACACATGAAATTTGCCTTTAATAAAACTAAGCCCAACCACACATTTATTAAACTATATAAAAGAGAGACAAGCAGATCTCCCCAGGCTTCCTGCCCCCACTTCAGGAGCTGCAGACTTGGAGGCAAATGGAAAATCGGCTGGAATGCAACGTGGATTAGCAGAGGCAGGTAGGGCTGGATTGATTTAGTGCCTTCTAGATTTTTTAGACAAATAGATAGATGTCATCTAGCTGCATTTTAACAAGCAGCTGAGCTGGCGTCGCGTGGTTAATTATTAGTACATCTGGAGAAGAGGGAAATTAGGACAGGAGCTAGGAAATGGATAGGGAGCTCAATAATGGGGGGAAAGAGGAAAAAAGTAAGAATAGCAGCTTATGGTGAGGTTGGGAGGAGTTTAGATGGAGCTCCTCCAAGGTCAACGTCAGGACCTTGCTTGTTAAATGTTTTCATGAAGGTTTTCAGCCCCCAAAACCTTGGGCACAGCCAAAAGGCCAAACCAGGAGCAAAGACATGGGCTGGTGTTTGATTCCTGCCGTGCCTGAGGAAGCAGGACCTGTAATTAAGCAGTGGTTTTTCAGGGAAAGGCCTCACTTGGTGATGGAGTTCTCCACTTGGCGTGGCTCAGCTGAGCTCCAGCTTTCAGAGTCACAAAAAAAAAAGCTTTTTTTCCTGAGTTTGAGTCCCTAAATCACCTGTTTCCACTCGTTAAGCCAGTTATTCCTTCTCAACTACAGAAAAGGGAAAAGCCCAAGCGATAATTCAGCGGAATCATTTGTAACAGCAGTGGGAATAATGAATAAATGCCTATTTTTAATTCCTCTTCCTGCTGTGCCACCGCTTTCTCTTTTCAGGTTTTATTAAGCCAGCCCTCCCATTTTGAAGCTGCAGCTTTGCCTTTCATCGCTCGGTGGGTTTCCAGCTCTGCCAGATGTTAACAGCTGAGACAGGAGAGGTCCAAACACAAAGACTGGCTTTGGGGAGTCTACCCAGGGTTAACACAGCTATGAACTTCTCTAAAATAAGGAGCTCTGCTCCTCTGGGTTCTATAGAAGAGCAGAACCAAAAATAAAACCCCAATAAATATTTTTCCCCAGTCATAAGATGAAGGTTTATCCTGCTAAAACTTGACTAAAGGTTTCATTCCAGGGAGGGAAGAAGGAAATCACTTATTCCAAGTCCACACAGCTCTCCCCAGAGCCCCCAGACCCCCCCAGACCCCCGAGCCCCCCCCGCCTGCCTGCTCAGCCCCCCCAGGCAGGAAGCAGAGCCCCCTGCTCCAGCCACATGCCGCGGCCACCGCTTACCCGAGGCGAGGAGGAATCCACCCCCGGCTTGGTAGGAGCGAGGGCTGACGAAGGGCACCCCACAGACCAGCAGCAGCCCCCCCACCAGCCCAGCAGAGACAGCCAGCAGGATGAACGCCGTCCAGAAGCCTCTGTACACTGCAGGGAAAAAGAGCAAAGTCAAGGGAAGGGAGAGGAGAAGGTGGTCGCTTCAGGCCAGGCTCGGCTCCTGCTTCAGCAGCAGCAGAAGGAAGAACCTCAAGGAATGACCAAGAAGGCCAATGGCAGCCTGGCTGGTAGCAGCACTGGTGTGGCCAGCAGGAGCATCCCCCTGGACTGGGCACTGGGGGGGCTGAAAATCAAAACCTGGG